TCAACTGACGCGCAGTTGCATCCAGAGCAAACTTCCATAGGTGTCCACTATTACGCTTTTTCCGCGTGGTCGACCACGGTGTTCGCTGGCAATTCCATCGATTTTGTAATGGAAACGTTCCGGTTTGTTGGATCGTCGAAACTAATTCTATTAACGTAGCAGTCAAGAGGTAGACGTTAATCTTTCATAAAAGTGAAACGTTTTGCTACCGAGATGAACGTAAAGGCGATAAAGTTTGAAGATTCGAGTTTCAATCTGCACGTAAAGTCACACCATGGATTTTTATGCGTTTGTAGTTTAGCTCAGTCGTGATTCTTAACTATAAAAATTGAATTTTGCGTGGAACCATAAAAGTATGGGAAGATGTGTTAATAAATCCTAAGTTATTGAATAACTGTAACTTAGGAAAAAATAATAAAACATCATCATTATTATTATCATTATCGTTGTCATTGTCGTTCTTATTGTTTTTGTTGTTATTGTTGTTATTGTTATTATTACTATGCATATTATTGTTATATATGTACATTTAAGGAACTTGTAGACTTGGAAGACGTGTTTTCAAACTGAGCAATGTCTAAATAAATACGTAGAACTATCAGTATATTTATAATTTATTATAATATAATTACTATATCAGAAAAATTCAAAATTATCTTTTACGTTCTTCTTCTCGTAATCTCGAACTATTGCTTTGAATTCTAAAACATAGCTTCTATTCGAGCGAGACATTGATTCCTGGCCACCTTATCTCGATCAATTTGAAGATTGGCGGCCATTAGAATTGGAAATGAAATTTGGTGGACTTACAAATGGAGACTACCGGCCGCTAACACGTTACGCTATTCAACCAAGAGAAATGTATTGTGTGCCGACGGGGACAATCGATTCTATGAGAATCGATTTATGTCTACGTTCCCTGGTGTACCTGTAGGCGCTAGAAGATTCGGTACAGTTTGCATAAAAACAGCATTTCCATTGACCGGTTGAAATCGTTGAAAATAAATGCTACAGAGAGCCATTGAACTAACCGGAAGAAGATTTCTTCTGAATGCTACCTAATTCATGAAAGTATTAATACGATGAAAGAAGATTGATCCTTAGAATTCGCCAGTGGAGCTTCAAAGATTCATGAAAGACATTTCCAGTTTTTATTCATCAGTTCAATGCGTGGGAAAAATTGTTAACTTCTTACAAAGACGGCAAGGTCTTTCTGTCTTAATGATTTGAAGATTTTCTTCATTTCCCGAGTAAAACATTTTTGTTTATGAGACTCATTCATCCTCGTCTGTCCCCAATGTTTGCAGCTTAATCAGTTCTCCTTGTGTCAAATTGATATAATGGTAAAATACTTAATAAAGAATAAACCCTTGATGTTATTCTGAATTATTTTACAGAAATACAGATGAAAAAATACATTCAAATGTGCTTAAATAATAAAATTTCAAGTAACCTTGAAAACCAATAATGTGATGAAAAAAGAATTTCGGAAGACGTCTCCTGCTCTCTCTTTGTTTCTTTCTTTTTCTCTTCGTATGTCGAGTTGATGGATCAGACACCAATAAGGGTCGAGTAAAACAGGAACTCCGGATCTTAAAACTGAAATGCTCCGCCCCTGGGATGCACTGAAGTTTAATCAGAATAAAACGCATGGCGGAGAGTCGTCAAGTTCCAGTATTTCGCCGTGATTTATCTTCAGGGCAATAAAAAGCTTCGCTGCACCCCCGTCTGGGCCGAGTATATGATGCATAGTGTTAATAACGTCTGTCCTCTCCTTCGTACTTGCGTGTGCAACACTCCCAACTCTGTCTCAGTTTTTCCCTGTTCCGTGTTTCAATACTGTTCCCCATCTTTCTCCTCCCTTGTGTTACCTTACGCCGTTTCTCCAACCCTTTGCATCAGAGGTTCCCAAAACAGACAGCGCGAGAATTTGTTTGCGCAGAATCTCGCTTTCTTTACATAGGTGCAATTTACAGATCGAAATAAGTGTCCGAGTAAGAAAACTTTGACTAAACAAAAGAGTTTGAAATGCGTCGAACATCTGAACGTGAGTCTTGTTAAAAGATAATACGGAGAAAGATGATTACACTCCGCTCAAATAGACAATGTCAATGCGACTATCACTTATTAATGTGATGTACGAGCGATAACAATAGCAAAGGCGTTGAAACGGGCACGATGCAGTAAACGTAGGATTAAGAGCAGCCTATAGGTCATGACGTTTCATATGCACGGAGATATATTGCACGAGAAACAGTGTGCATCTACACGAGCTGAATACAATATTCTGTTGAGATGTAACATCAACCATATCTTCCTCCGGTCCACAACAGCTTCCATTAGTAAAGTTCATAATTCTAAACAACAACTTCCCTTATTGCCATCCTTTCATACTGAGTCTAAGCTTGCTTTGTTGACGTTTTTTAACAAATTTTATATTCAACGACATAAGCAGTAACACGAAAAAATAAAAAATGATCGCAAAGTAATTGAATAATAAATTTTACATATATAGTTCGTAAATTTACAAATTTGCAAATTCCATAAAAATATTAGTTTCATATTCCGATGATAAAAAATGTAACAGACCCTTTTTTCTAATTGGAGTGTGAAATGTTTAATAAATTGCAAACAGATCATAAAGATCCACCAGTGGGGCTTACGGTTATTTGTAATAAGAGAAATGAATTGCCAATAGAAACAAAACCTCAATGGTAACGCGACGTTGCCTTTGCATCTGTTACGGATGCGGAGTGAATTATGTTACAGCCTACAGCCGTAACGTTGTATTGTCTCGAATACATAGTGTACTTGAATCGTCCCGCCCGAAGAGGTTATCACAAGGGGTAAACGTACAACTCGACACATTCCTTGATTAACTTGATGCTATTATACTGTATCCTTCACTTAAAATTTGCAATTTACATAAGTAAATCAAGGAGGATGAGGATTTCTCAATGTCTTTATTTTGGAAGAAATGGAAACAGCAGTTCGCACTTCAATTACTTTTGAGTAGTAGCGAATTCAGGGAAATCAACGAAAACATAATAGATGTCATTTTTATCATTAATTATATAAACATTTTGTCAAATAAAATACATATTGCATTACAGTTTGAACAATATCTCGCACCCGTTACAATTCAAATTTTATGAAAACAAACGCCCAATTGAATCATGGCGCCATCTAACGACAAGAATATTATACCGATTGAAAAATTTCATTGATTAATTCTCGTCTAATTATCAGAAATATTGTATTATATATATTGATATAGCGAATTCCTTCATTACCAATGATATTAAATTCCTTGTTTATCGATAGTTGTATTTTATTGATTTTTCCAGATTACATACATATAAATATATATAAGCCTATATCCAGTCACAGACGAGGTATATGGAAAACATTGCAGCTTACGGGACTTCGTGTCACATATTCTGAATTATCGACTGTGTAAAAGATCAGAGATTTGGCTCTGTCCTTTATGCCTACAGAACGGTGATTAGGAAAACTACATCGAGCAAAATGATCGAAGTTGACCAAGTAGAAAATATGGTAAACCAACATACAGACATCATAAACTTAAGATATATACAAACTGTGCATACAATGTATTTTTCTGTCTACTGTTCTGAAATACTGATATCGTCAAAAATACCCCAAAGCACTAGCGAACACTACCTGAATCGAACGATTAACTACTGAACTTTATAAGACTAAGAAGAACTATATAATTACTACATTTTACTGTAGAAAATTCTTTTACAGCCATATAATTAATGTATTAAATGCAATAAGATGTATATACAGTTGTTGTTATTTATCAATTCAATTTAAACAAATTTGTATTAGTGGAACATCTTTAAGTTCCATTATATATCCTCATAGTACATAAATTATTTAGTATTCATATTGTATTGTACTTTAAAATTGTGAATTATGTTTAATATTTCGATAAATGTCTATTAAAATTACGAATATACAGAAAAATATAATATTGAGACAAAAAAGGTCACATTTTTTTATTTATTTATTTATTCGTGTTTGTTTGCACAGACTTAAGCAAAATCATTATATCCAAATTTAAAAGAATACCTAAAAGTGGGTTATACATTTTTAGTCCTGAATGCTTAATAATTTTTTTAGAAATATTACAGTTTAAATAAAAATGTATATTGTACTTCTATTTTATTTGTCAAGATTTTAATTATTAATAGAAAAACTATTGATATATAATTTATCGAAGAATATTTTACAACTGTATAATTAATCAAAATAATTTCTTATATAAATTTTATAACTGTATAGTAGTTTTGATGCTTTCACGGCCTGGAGTATTACATACAAACTCCTAGAACAAATTCCTAGTGGACACAACTCTCACCCGAAAGCCAGAAATGAATTTATAACTGTAATTTATATAGTAAATATATTTATTAAAATATTTACCTTTGTAAATTAACCCCTTGCCTTACAATATCGTGTCAGACTCGTGAGGAAGATTTCTAACATGGTTTAATAAATATAAATGTCATACAGTTCTTTTGAGTTCAAATGAAACATTTTTTTTGTTAGCAATTTGTATGGTTTAGAGTAAATCTAGACATAGAAAAAGTATGAAGCTCTTTGCTTTATTAGTGCATTATTAACGATAGACAGTTTTAACAAATACAACTACGAAATTAAATTTTAGGGCAAGAAGTTAATAAGAACTGCATTATCATAAAGATCGATTGAATAAATACTACTTACATCATCTAAATGTACATGCCTTATACCGTTGTTACCACTAAATCTAATGGCACAATCATAGCAAAAATGAAGTATACAACTAATCCAATTCCTGCTAACAAGTCTAAAATCTTGTACTATCGGTAACGTCGAATATTACACAAAAATGGTACAGGGGTCTTGAGACCCTCGAAGGCCTCTACAAAAATTCCCATAAGCTGCAACATCTGTATTTACGTATCTTAAGTCTGTGATTCAATATTTTTCTTATTCTAATTCCTATCATTTATAGCTCTGCCATGCAAACCCAGTGTAAGTCGATATGACAAAGCGTGAAATGAAAGTGGTAAGAACGTCCTGTGATTCCCGAGAGCGTATGACAAAATTGTACATTGCATGTCAGGTCTATCCTATACCTCGTCTGTAATATCACTGAAACCAATAGTTTCCTTTTACGTAGTTGGTAGACTTGCGAAGCTAATAACATATATTGCTCAGTTCACTCAGTCTTTACTATAAAAATTCGGCCTGCCAAAACGTGCTAATAGGTATCAAGATGCAGGTTCCACCAATTTTTATGGAATTACCCCTAGAAGATCAGGTATAAAATATTTATATTATATTAAATATTTCAGTATCATCAATATCACTTATAAAATATTAACATTCCTCACAAGATTATTTATCACAGCATCCATCTGTTTTTTAGGTTATAATTAATTATCTAATAATTTCCATTTTAGTATCTTCTTTACGTTACTATAGCTTTATAATTACTTACTTATCTCTAGGCGCAAGAGCTACGGGTGTATTTCAAAAGCTTAGGTGCTGAAATCAGTGAAGAAAAATCTCCCAAAGGTATTGAAGATGATTTACACAAAATTATTGGTGTATGCGAAGCTTGCTTTAAGGAGGGAAACGAAACTGAAATAGAAACTGTTTTGAATGACATTGTATCTATTATGATAGTAATTCCTACAGAACGAGCAGAAAATTTAATATTAGCATTTTGTGAAAAATTAACGAAAGCACCTGGTCATAAACTTGGTTTAGTATGTTTAAAAGCGTAAGTTAATGCAAGTAGTATGAATAACAGATATATTTTCTCCTTACTATAAATATGTATAAATTTTCTTTTACAGATTATGGCTATTATTTCAATCTCTTCCTGATGAATCTCCAATGAGGTATCATGTTTATTATCATATAGTTCAAATTGCTCGTAATGTTGATCAAGTAAAAGCAGTATATGGTGGAATTCAGCAGTTAAAGCAACAATTTGCATCTTTTCCACCATCTAATGAGCAAATGCAAAAATTACTTAGATTATTACATGAAGTACTTTTAAGGTGCAAACAGGGGTAAGTCGGTTTTAGTTGAAAATAAATTGTAATATAATTAATATATTAAATTATAAAAAATTTTCAGAGAACAGGCTGCTGCAGTTATGGTAGAACTTTTAGGCACCTATACAGCAGAAAATGCATCTGCAGCTAGAGAAGATGCACAACGTTGTATTTTAGCTGCATTAGCTGATCCCAATTCATTTTTACTTGATCCACTATTAGCATTGAAACCTGTAAAATTTTTAGAAGGAGAACTCATTCATGACTTACTTCTTGTATTTGTGAAAGATAAATTACCTGGATATTTACATTTTTATCAACACCACAAGGACTTTGTAGAGCATCATCTTGGTACGTACTTAATTTATTAAACACATTATGTTTTAAACAAATTGAAGTATAACTAAAATATGACACATTTGTTTTTCAGGATTAAATCATGAACAAAATATGAAGAAAATGAGATTATTAACATTTATGCAACTGGCAGAAACAAATCCTGAAATGTCTTTTGATACAATTCAAGAGGAATTACAAATTAATGAAGACGAAGTAGAAAGTTTCATTATTGATGGTGAGTCAATAGTACCCAGCTATTCAAAATCAAATAATCATACTAATACTTATATTATAAGTGTCATTTAATTATCCTGCATAAATAAATTTAATCTTCTAATTTAATTATAAAAATGAAGATACACATGCAGGATAAATAAAAAGAATCAGTACTGACTTAGTAAAAATTCATTTTTACTAAGTTATCGAGTCATTCGACATTTAGAATATAAATTACATGTAGGATATCTTCCTTTTTCTTTTAAATCCGATTATGCGGTAAAATCAAATATAAATGTTTCAGTATTGAAAACGAAACTTGTTAGAGCGCGTATGGATCAAGCCGGTCGTAAAGTACTTATTTCAAGTACTATGCATAGAACATTTGGTCGACCACAATGGATGCAGTTGCGAGATTTACTTGCAGCCTGGAAATCAAATTTAACTGCTGTGCAAGAGGGTATGAAAACTGTAGCTGGTGCACAAATGGAACTTGCTACAAAAAATAAACCTGTAATAAACCATTGATACCTTCACATCTTTCACTGTATATGAAATTTATGAATAACATATACACATATTAATTGGAAACTAAAATTAATTTTTCTAATTAATTCAGAATTTTAATTGAATAAATAAATATATCGTGTAACTACAGTATTATGTTTGTAATTAAATTAATCACATAATTAAGTAAATTATAATAAATGATTATTTACAGAATTTGTAATACTATTATATAACATTCTAAAAACTAGTTACAAACTGTTAATATTATTCTGCACTGATTTCCTGGAAATGATTAAATATTTCAACTTGATAAGGGTGCAGTATGTCAATCTCCATAAAGCATTTTATAATTAATAACAATTTTAAAAGTGGGTAGAAGATTTTTTGTGTCAAACAAGTTTTTGTACATGTTTATTTGTAAAATAAAAGGTACTATGAAACTATGTCAATTCTAGAGTATAAATGGTCCTTGAAATAAACACTAGTAATATGATTATGATTTTTTATTTTCTTCTTTTCATATAGCAACATTTTATTCTCATTAATCATTTTTCGTGACATAAAGCTTTATCATAGAAGCATTTCTTAGATTTTACAATTTGATGAGTAGAACGTTGATATACAATTTTATAATTGTGCATTACACGATTAGAAAAGCCACATGTTTTTTTGTACTAATTCGCTTCATTGTTTGTTTCTAATCTGTAATTTGTTGCTTATCACATGATACTGTTGATTCGTACAAAAATTACAAACTCTAAAAAACTAATGATATAAATCTATAAAAAAGTAACACAGCGTGTGGCTTGATGCAAATTCAAAATGTATAATTAAAGTAACTATCTATACTGTAATGTTCATTAGTATTTCATATTTTTTTACAGAAACGTACGTAAATATCTTATTCATTATTGTGTTTTACATACATTTCTGTAGTTTCGCCTCATATATTCATATACAAAAATAATATATAGATGAAAATATTTCTTGTAAACATAACATATACTCCTTGCAATATAATTTTAATTTCACTCGTGATTGAACTAAATATTGTGAATTAGTCGAAAATTAGATATAAAATATATTTACCAATCAACACTGAAATTACTAATTTTCAAAATTTGTAAGGTACTATAGTTGAAAGTAATATAAAGTGAATCATTTTCGTATGCGTAACATAACATTGAAAATCGAAATCTTTGATTAGACTGTGCATTCACGCAATCAAATTAAACATAATTTAATGTAAATAATAATAATAATAATAAAAGCATACTACTCTATACAAAAAAATGTGTAATTCCTTTATTTGATAAAAAAAAAATTAATAGTTTAGAAGAGAAAATACATATAAAAAACGATGTAATGTGTTGAAATATTATGTATAACATGAGTGCAGTCTATAACAGTAATTTGTTATTAAGATTATTGGCGTAACTTATGATGAATTTTTCTACATCTAGTGATAATAGTACATTGTAAAAATAACAACTATAGTAAAATTATCGTTTTGATAGCTTAGTTTCTAAATTGATACATAAGAAATGTTTTTTTGTTTCACTTTGTTTCTAGTACGATTTTATTTCAGATATGGCATCATTAAATCTCACGTTGCACTAATTTTTGAAATTTAAATAATTCGTTACATCATACAATATATGGTCTGTAATAAATGTGTAGCACATTTATAATATAGCGTCACGTATACGTAGGTATAAAAATTTTCTCATTTTATAAAGAAACTCAACAGTCTAATAAAGCCAAGATTTGAATTAATTTTCACCTTACAATGTATACAAAATATGCGAAATATCAATACTTCTATAAACTTCTATGTTTATTCTGTCTTTGCATACATCAATCTCTTGTAGAATTCACTGAAAGACAAATTACGAATAATAGGTACTTTATATGTATATTATTTTCTTAATATAAATTCATTATGTTTCTTTGAAATTGTTTTAAAGTCAGATTTGAGTAGAGAAACGAGGACGTGGCAAATCTCCAAATACTGTATCACCATGAACGCTCTTAGCTAGAGCTTTAATCGAAGCTCTAATATTATGCGGATCATGTGGATCTCTTGATAACTGGAAGTATTATTTCACTTGATTTAGTAAAAACTACTATTACAAAATACATATGTATATACATTTAATTATAATAAAATTATATGTCAATAAACACTAGGAGTACAGACTTCAAGCTCATAAAAGTCAACTATACCTGATACTCAACATACCTGATCATCATCTTCATCTTGAACTGTTCTACGCACAAATGAAGGAAAAGATGGAACACTAACTGGTAATGATTTAGCCAATGTAGGATGTCCACTTCTTTGCCCCCTAGGCATATGAATACCTTCGTCTTGACCTGAATCTAAATATACCAATAACATTAATTATGTCTGATATGGTCACATTGATATTTATAAGTATAATTATATAGAGGAATCATCTGTCTAACCATCTGTATCAGATTCTTCTTCTGAAGATTGAACATGATCAGTAGTATTAGTATCTTCCATTCCTTCCAGAGGAAATAAAGCTTCTGCATCAAAACTAGTTGGTTCATCAGTGTAACTGTTTCCGAATAGTATATATACTCCATTATTTTTATCTATTGTACTATTCTATAAAATAATAATTAAATTTTTTATAAAATATACTTTGAATTATAAATCTTCTAAACTATATGAAATACTTACAACAACAGGATTAGGGGAATATTTAGCACCTTCATGCTTAACATTAGGACCAATAACAATTTTTGTTTCACTTGATATTACTTTTGACGGTGTATTCACCATGTTATTTGTAGAGGTAGATAAGCTGATCGTAAAACTGTCTGGAGTTGTAGGAGGTGTTTCTATATTATTTGTTAATCTATTTGTTTCCTCTCCTTTAGAAATTAACCTGAAATATATCAATTTCAAAATGTAAGTTAAGGAAACACGATACTGTATTATATAATTTTTTGATTTATATGTAGAACCTTGTTAATATTCTGTGTTCATTATGAGCTCGTTCACGAAATTGTTCTAATAATTGATACTGCTCTGCTGTGAAAGCACGAATTTTATCTTCTATTTCTGCAGACCTCCGTTGGACTGCTTCTTCAAGCTGCTGTTGGAGACCACCCAAAGCTACTTGAACGTTATTAGGTAACTGCGATACTGGATAAATAAAATAAAATATATATCAAACATTTATATAGTTAACAAACTTTTAAATACAATTTCAGTTTTTAGTCTTTTAAATTATTTCTTCAAATTGACGAAATTAATTAATGTACGTTAATCAATTTACCAGAAAATTTAGTAGGTTGTTGAGGGTAATCAAGTTCTTCCAAAGTATTGTGAGCAATTACTATTCTAAATATTGGACTATAATCAGGATTAGATTTTAATTTGTTTATTTCTTCAGGAGAATTCTGCAATAAAAAGCATAATAGAAAATAAATAAAACAACATTAGTCTGGGTAACAAGTTCACATTCAACTTTTATATTTGATATAACTTCTGAGTTGCAATTAAAGCAATAATAATTAAATTTAACACATTATATATTAAATTGTTCAGCTGTGTATTACATAAAATACTGACTATATGCGCTATATTAATTTATTGTTTTCTTTTTAAATAACAGTCTTAACACAAATTAATGTATATACCCTTTCTCTATAAAAAGGTATATGTACTCACAACAATGTCATTATTAATAAGAACTAAAGCTGCACCGTAGTCTCTGTGCACAGCATGTGTATACATTGAACAATTATAACACCGGTGAATAACCCATGATCCCACATTTCTTATCTCCACTAAACCCGGCTGTTCTTTAGTGATACCTTCGAGTTCTGATATTGTAGCTAGATTCTGGTCAGAACAAATAAAACAAATTTTTAATAAAGAAATTTTCCTTATCAATAAATAAATATCGCTTATCTTATCTTCATAGTATAATTTCATTAATTATATCTTATAGTATTTGAAAAATAAATAGTTCCAATTTTTAATACAACAACATTTCAGTCATACCAAAAATGTTCCTTAATTATTATTATTTCAATTATAAGTTTATAGTAAACCATCAGCTATTATAAACATAAAAAGAAATTATTATAAAAAAAAAAGAAAATCTTACCTGACGAAAGAATCCGTCGGTTTGTTCTTGAGGTGTCAGTTCAATATCATCGATGTTGACCTTTTGCAGTTCAGTGCCCCTGGATTTTATGGACACGTTCAAACATTTGCATACAATATGCATCTTACACAATCAGTGCACAACGTTTTCTAAAAGAAACTTGAAAAATCGACGCACCGTCTTACGGTGCCGGGACTCATACACTCTGTATACGCACAGTTCACTTGATTTCTCGTTGGATGTATTTATATGATACGCAGCTAAAATCTTTTAGTCGTTCTCAAGATATTTTTGATTTTTCCAATAAAGTCAACCGAAGAAATGGTTTATAAGTTAAATTGGAACGAAACAACAGAAAGTATAAAACAATGGTTTGACTTAAGGAGTAGATTGCCGTGCACTATGCGTTTCGCGGTATTGTTTAATTTCGAATAATATACTGTATTTGTTCAGCAAATATAGGAGACACTTTTAAGGAAAAACATTTACTTTCGAAAAGGAAAACAGTCACACTTCGTATTCGAATTTACTGACGATCAATCCCGGCTGGCATCCGTTTCGTTCCGTGGATTAATTTGTACGCTATTAACAGATACGTAAATATGCTCGAACGTTAAGTAAACGAATTACCGAACCTCTGTAGTTTAGTCGATTATGTTTGCGTCCGACTGTTCGTTTTTACTCTCTACGGAGACAGTTTTAAATATCAATATTTGGGTGTTTCGCATGAATTGGTCTGAATGAATTCTCACATTCAGATTATATGGTAAATTCCTACATTTCTTGGTTACGGAACACGGTATTTACAAGTATTTCGGAAAATCTACAAAGCCTCTACTAAAAATAAACACTGATTTATAGGTGCGTGCAGATGCGTACGTGATCACCCCAGACAAAAACATACTTGCTAGTCAGTTGACTGACTTTACCATATGACATAGGTTTCTTGCCGTGTTGAGCGTGATTTGTACACATACAAGCAGCATACACAATCATAAGTTTACTCGAAATTACATGTATTAAATTTGATTACTGTTTAATACATTTCATAATTTCTGTGATATTTTAGAATGATAACGTGTTTAATAAATTTGAAAATATATTGAACAAATAGTAATGCCAAGTTTGAATAATATGTCGTTTGACCGGGTTATGAATTTTAATATGCATGTGCGAGACTCAAAGTACTTACTTTACGAAGTCTATTTTAAAAACATTCTATTGTTATTTCTAAACGTAAGGTGATACAACATAACACGATACAAACATAGAATTTTAAAGCATTGGGAACATATGCAAGGATATTGCAGGATACACGAAAATATACTTCTATTTGTAATGCTAGGGATCTTATCTTTTCTTTTTTTAAACATATTTCAAAGATAATATTGCTCGTATTATAATAGTTTAATAGAGATGTGTACATTATCTACATAATACTGTCTAAGTATGATACATTAACGAATCATAACAGAGTCATATATACATATTTCTTCTATAAAATATTCATTTATGTATAACAGAATATAAAATAATATTATAGTGCAATTATTGGAATGTTACTTCAGTAATGCATAACTGTAAATGTAAATACAATGATGTGGAATGTTAATAAAATATATAACAAACAATAAAAATATAACAAAGTATTTAAAATGTTATAATTTCATCTGTAGAAACTCTTCTTTCTGCTTGAAATATTCATTAAATCGTATTGCAGCATACCTATAAAGTGTTGTACTTAATATATAATTTTTTGAAAGTATAATAATAATTATTGATAGTATAATGAAACGTGTTGAAAAATTTTAGTCACAATTAAATAACATCTCCTAAAGTATGTACGATCGATATTTATATTTCTTACATATTAGTATATACTCACTCTAAAAAATCAAATTCAATCATTGAATGTTCACTTTGTATAAGTCCCCAACAACCCCAAAAGAAGTGTGACAAAAGAACGAATTTATTTACTTGCACATACAGTAAATTAATTTCATTTTCAGGTACATAATTTACATTGTTGTACTCCTGAAGATATATATTTAACCAGGCTTTTTGTAAACATTCTTCAGGATATAAAGAATAGTCAGGATTATCAATACCTGAAAACAAGTATATCTATTTTAAATGTAAGTTTACATATATTCAGTAGGGATAAAAAGTATCATGTTTGAAGTAATATTTAAAAATATATTTAAATTACCAGCAAATTCTGCGAAATGATTAGCTATATCAAAAGGCTGGTAATTATAAGCAGTATATTCAAAATCAATGAAAGTAACAATGTTTTCTTTTTCATTAAAAAGTACATTTGCTAGAAGTAAATCATTATGAGCAAAGACTACTTTGCTATTCAACTCTATAAGAGTCTTTTTTAATTGTTGATAATTTTCTTTCAATACAACAAATGGTTTTATTAATTTTTCGAACCTGAAAACAAAAACAATAAATAACACAAAATGAAATGAAAAATCTAATATGATACTTTTTATTACAATACACTACCTTGTTTGTTTTGAAACATCAGAAAATTGTTTTGGCATAATTTCCATAAATTTTTCTAGCTTATTCCATATACATGCTTCTTTGGATATTTCATCACTATCAGGTTTAAGTTTATGCATTTCTGCCATTCGTTTAGCAATTAAAGTATATACATCAGGTTTTCTTACCGTTTCTGTTGTAAGTATAACACCCTCAATAAATTGATAAGCCAAACCATTATTAAATGTTGCATAAATCGAATGTGTGAACCCAATTTTATTTAAAATCTGAAAATATATTTAATTATCTGCAAATGTTACATTCCTTTTGTATATTTTTACTTTCTCTTATTGATAGTGTTACATATCCTGCAAAACTTATACTTACCCGAATATTTCGTGTTTCATCTTTGCGATTAATAAGCAGATCTGTTTTATGTCCATAAACCCTGACTAAAACCATCTCGTTATAATGTTCAGAATACCACACTCCTATAAGTTTGTTTGTAATACCATTGGTAAATACCTAAAAATAAAATTACGTGTGATCATAACATTTGTAAATAATATAATCTCCTATTGATATAATTACTAATGCTTGTACATGAGAATATCAACAAGACTGTATTTAATAAAAATCTTTACAACCACTTGATATTAATTTTTTCTAATTCTATCTTAAGTAATAGTGAACGAATATAAAGTGTTATCATAATCGTTACTACTGGAAACTTAAACCTAAGAAAAACTTGTTATCAAGAGATAAAGTCAAATACCAGATAAACTGTTGAATGACCTTAATTTCTTTTGTTAAGAATTTTTGCTTCGTTCATAATATATTTTGTTTCCTACCTAAAAACATATAATATATATGTTTTTTATGTATAAAGTATAAAATTTATAATATAATAAAAATGTTGTAAATATGGAAAGAATAAACAGCAATAATTTCTATTACCTTAAATTGTAGATTATTCAATGGCCATGTTGGTCTTATTCTTTTAATTATCTCTATCGCACCACTGATAATTTCATTTTCATCTACTGTTATATCTAGATGTGGTTCTATTTGGTCCATGATTATATGTTATCTGTCAACAAATAAGAATGCTTTATACAAACAATATCCAAGATGTGCATTATACACGTAATGCTTCATATTAACACAACACGTGTTTACAAGTTTTATAAGTTGTCATTAAATAATAAGCAAAAAATACATTGCATTTTGAAATTGATAATATATAAACATTACACATTAATACATTAAAATATACCAGCTTTATGTGTGGGCTGAACTGTGAAACAGTTCCACTGTAACTGAAATGATTTGATTGAAGTGATGATACTATATACTGATAATAATTGAGAATACTCATAGCAAGAGATGACTAGAATAATGTAGAGGCCTTGAAATTATTACTAATTCCATTCAATATTCAGCATCAATGGAAATTATTCATTCTCATTTTAACCTACTAAACAATTTTGTAAAATCATACATTTATATAGAAATAACAAACAAATACATTGAACAATTATTATTATTCATTTCACTAACATTTTATTTATGGTATAAAATTACAGACCTTAGTTCATTTATTCATGTTTTAAATTAACAAACATTTAATATTATATGTTCTACATAAAATATAACAATACAATGTAAAATTTAAGTTTAACAATAATGTATTACGTTCACGGAAAACTGTCTATTAAAAACAAAATTTACATATTTTGACATCGGATAGTTCATATTTCTCGAATCTCTTATAAACTATTTAATATATAATTATTGAGTTCTAGTTATTTACAAACAAGATCATTTTAAAAAACATAGAAACTCATTTAGATGATGTTAAAGTGTTCATATTATGGAAGGTATATTGATCGACGCACCACTTTTATCCTTCTTTTAAGCTGATAATGTGGGGACTGTTACTAGATAAAAGTTGCAGAATTGTAGGATCCAGCAACGCTTAATTTAATTTACCAAAAATTAAAAAGATTTATTGTTTTAATACGTAATGAAAGAAGTTTATAAATTACAAAACTGTTTTAAATTTTAATAACAAATGTCATTCATGAAAAGCAATTGCAGATGACAATTACTTACCGAAGTAGGTATGTGGATTTTATGGTTGATTATATCCCTATAAGAGATTTCATGTTATGTTTAAAATAAATATTGTCTATCCCATTTATATGAAATCACAGATGCAATTATTATAAAATGTTTTATAAAAAAATTCATAATTTACATTAAAATTATGAAACATTTGTTTTCGATTTTTGAGACTTTTGCACAACATTAGCTAACTTCAGATCAGAATAAAATTTAGCGCATACTTATAGTCATATGGGATTAAATCTCAAAGTATTTCTAAAAATGAAAACTTCCATCAGTACCTTTAAAAATAATACATTTAGTAGGGCTGAATAAAAAAGAAAAATATTTAAAAGCACGATAATATTTAAAATGTTATATTTTAGGAAATTGTATTTAAGAAAAATGTATAATTTCATTAATTCTATCGTACTTAAAATTTTATTTCATTAAGTTACACATGTAATTGAATACTCTAACATATCTAAAAGAGTTGGTATATTTATACAAACTCACATTATTGTACCTAACAATATTAAATGACTATTGTAAATAAAATCTTCAAATGTTTTGAGAAGTCTGTACAGTAAAACCAGTAGTAAAAAGCCTCTTGTATTGTAAGTAGATATCCATTTTATAATTTTACAAATAATATACAAACTTATTTTTCAATGTTTATAATTTATATATAGTAATTTGATTAAATATAACTTCTCAACAGACGCAAATTTTTGCCAAGTATAACAAGAGTAAAATGATAACATAAATTCTTCCCTAACTCTATATTAATCATATTTCAATTTCATAAACATTTTAAATATCGAATAGAGACAATGGCGAATTTAAACAAGTATCTTACTTGATTTTTGAATTTCGTTCCTAGTTCTTTGTTATTATGTTACGGTGTATTGGAACTATATTCACACAAAACCTTAATTCCATGCGCATACAAACTGAAAAGTAATTCATGTAAAATGCCAAAGTAAAATTAAGTAAAAGTAAACTAGTACGTGTGTAATTCAAATAAAGCAAATTGAAATAAATGTGTTTTAACATATACGTGTTTAAATTAATTTAATTTATCTCAAATGTATTTTGTACTGTGGTGCAATATATGTTTGTACTTACATGAAATTAATATTAACTTTGTGTCTATATATTGAAAATGTGTAATTACAATAAACGTGCATTTACAAGAAAATTTCATTGATTTTACATGATTATCTTGTCCAGCACGTTGTGTTTAATACATGTTTAAGTTACAAGATATCGAATAAATATACTTATTCCTTCATAAGATATTAAAAAGTTGAAGATTATTCATTGATTTAATGATCACTCAAAACTCGAAAAAATGTCAAAGAAAATACCGCTTCGTTCCAATGAAATTCAACCAACATTTAAAGGATTTCTCGAAAAATATAAACAACGAACTGCTGTGTCCAGGTATCAGAATTACATACATAATATTCTATTTACAAAATTTAATACTAAAATTATAATATAAATACAAGTTAAACGTTTTACATTATATAACTTTCTTTTTATATTTTGTGTTTGATATTTATTATATATTTAGAGATATTTTTTCATAAGAAAAGAATGACATTATTTTATAGCACCCTGAAACCAATAAACACAAATTCAGAATTAAATGAAAGTTTAGACACATTTGATAACTCTGTACCTCAAAATGAAGGAAATAATGTAGCAGACACAAGAACCAGTATTATATCTATTGTAAGAAAACTTATTGTTTTATATATAAACATTTTATGGATACTAGTGTCTTTACAGTGAAATAAATTTCTTTTAGGATAGTTCAGAAGATTCGTTCTTAAATGATAATAGCAAAACTCCTATAAAAATATCTGATAGCAATGTCATGAATAAACAAGAAAATTGTGTACAGAAGAAATCAGTTTCAAGACTTAAACAACTAAATGCATTGCCAAAGAAGTTCATTCAATCCTCAGATAGTGAAGATGATATAATAAAACCATCTTTGAATTTAAACAGAAAGAATAGAATCCTTAATGATAATAAGCATGAGTCTGAAACAGACCAAAATTATCCAATCATAAAAAAAGAACTTGATACATCTAATGCATCTTCATTAGCTTCACCAAAAAATGAGGTTTATAAAGATATTATAAAAGAAAACAATGCAATAAAAAGTGATATCTTAAGAACTCCGAAGAAACATATAAAATCTGAAAAAAAAGAAGGTATTATAATATCGGATTCTGACAGTAATAGTCCACAATTTAAAAGTGTTTACAAGAAAAGCCCTAGAAAGGAATGGGTAGGACCAGATTTTAAATTAAATTTAAAATCTTTAGGCTTAGGTAAACAATTAGATCCATGGATTCAGTCTACAAAGGCAAAACCTATAATGTCTTCTGTACCTGTAAGCACTTATCTTACTAAAACTATCAATACTAAAACTATTATCAATACTAAAACTATTACTAGAATTATTATTTAAAAATGATTTATTTTTAGGTCACAAAGAATAAATTAGAGGATAGGTATAAGCATTTAAAAGATCTTCAGATAGAAATTCTTGAAAAATTTTATTTTGCATTGGATCATATTCCTTTGCCAGTTTTAGAAAAATTTCCAAATTTTGATATGCAAACATTTCAAGATTTAAAAATGCTGCATCAACACGTTAAAGCAAAAGTACGTTTGATTGAGAAAAAGTTAGCGCACATACAAACCGATGAAAATGTAAAATCTGTCACTGAAAAGATCTGTAAAAGTACAAATAGTTTTATGACACCTTCATCAACAGAAGCTTTAAACCAACAATCGATATTAAGTATTTCAGATAATGATAGTTTTAATTCATCTACTATGAATTTGAATGATTCAAATTGTATTAATAATATGATAATAGAGAATACGTCTCCAACAGTAAAAGAATATCATTCACCCTTAGAAACAAACAGTATATCACAAATAAAAGAGCAAATAGATAACAATAGTGTACATTCTTCACCTATTCAAGGAAAAAAAAGAACATTTCAATTGAAGAGACCTATTAAAGCAACTTTAGGTACGGAAGTTTCTAAACAGATAGAAGAGATATGGGAGAAACAAGAAAAATCGGAAATAATCAGTACTAAAATACTAGTTTCTGATACACCTACAATTAATAATGCACATAAACCAGCAAAAGTTGATAGTAATGAAAGCATGCATCCTATACAAAAAAGTAAAGAAGAAAGTTATCAGTCTAACGCGAATCTGAAACATGAAAAATCTCAAAACAGTTGGAATGATGTGTTAGATGTACATGGTAATTATATAATGTATAAATAAACGTAAAATTAAAATAGTGTAACTTATAATTAATATTATAATTATTCATTTATTGTAGATAATACCTCATATTCTCAAGAGATAGTGGACTGTTTAACTCAAGAATTTGAACACTTCCCTACATTGAGTAAAGATTGTAATATAAAGTCGAATTGGGATTCCTCAGGTAAATTTTAATTGTAGAAGGTACTCATTTCTCAAATTATAATTGTATAATGAGTATAAGTTTATAAACTTTAAATGTATATTCGTAGTATTCGATACATCAGCAACACAAAACCAAATGATACAAAGCCAATACAGTAACCAAACAATACAAAATCGAGCTAATATTAGTAATAACAGAATTGAAGATAATAAAGAAGAAATACAATCGACTGACAAGAAAATTAAGGAGGCTGTTTTTACTGGGAATTATAAAAACGATGGTGTTAGCGGTGAATTTGATAGTTTAAATTATCCACATTCACGGGAAATGTTAAAGGTGAACTATTATTTTCTTTCAATTATTTATCAATTATTAAAGCAGATATACTTAAATATATATATAATATTTTTAGGTATTTAGACAAAAATTTGGATTATATTCGTTTAGGCCAAATCAACTACAAGCAATTAACGCCGCAATTTTGGGGTTTGACTGTTTTGTTTTAATGCCAACTGGAGGAGGAAAATCCTTATGTTATCAATTACCAGCACTGTTGTTACCTGGAGTAACAGTTGTAATTTCTCCATTGAAGAGTCTTATTCTCGATCAAGTTCAGAAGCTTACATCCCTTGATGTAAGATTTTTTGCGCATCGTACTTTCTATATTATCATTATTCTTATACATTTATAAGTCAGTAACAAATTTTATGTAGATTCCAGCTGTACATATGTCTGGTACACAAACAGATATTCAAATGGAAAGAATATATCGAGAACTAGCAAAGAAAGATCCAGCTCTTAAATTATTGTATGTTACACCAGAAAAAATATCTGCATCTCAAAAACTTTGTAGTTACTTAAGTACATTGTATAGCAGAGGATTATTAGCAAGATTCGTCATTGACGAAGCACATTGTGTAAGTCAGTGGGGTCACGACTTTCGACCTGATTACAAAAAATTGAAATGCCTTAGAGAAAATTATCCAAAAGTACCAGTAATTGCTTTAACAGCAACAGCTACACCAAGAGTTAGAACTGATATTCTGCACCAATTAGGCCTTAGCAAGCCAAAATGGTATGTTATTACACAAAAATTACATTTCTGAAAGTTACAAAAGCCATTAATCTTTTTTCCAGGTTCATGTCTAGTTTTAATAGGCCTAATTTAAGATACAGCATAATTGCGAAGAAGGGAAAAAATTGTTCCGATGAAGTAATAGCTATGATAAAAACAAAATATAAGTCTGAATGCGGCATTGTGTATTGCTTATCTCGTAAAGATTGCGATGATTATGCAATGCAAATGAAGAAGAATGGCATTCGAGCATTAAGTTATCATGCTGGACTTACAGATAACAGTAGAAGTGATATTCAGGGTCGATGGATTTCAGAAGAAGTATGCAAAATATTCTATATAAAATATTTTTAACGTTTATAAGTATGTATATAATAAATTTTAGATTAAAGTCGTTTGTGCAACAATAGCGTTTGGAATGGGTATTGACAAACCAAATGTGCGCTTCGTAATACACGCAGCACTTCCAAAATCAATTGAGGGTTATTATCAAGAAAGTGGACGCGCTGGCCGTGATGGAGAAAATGCAGACTGTATTTTATTCTACAATTACGCTGATATGCATAGAATCAGAAAAATGATCGAATTGGATAATTCAAGCCCCGATGCAGTAAAAACTCACATAGACAATTTATTTAAAATGGTGTCATTTTGTGAAAATAAAATGGATTGTCGCAGGGCTCTACAATTAAATTATTTTGGCGAAATTTTTGATCGACAACAATGCATGGCTAATAAATCAACTTCATGTGACAATTGTAGAAGTAAAGTAAGTAATAATTGAAATAATGAGGTGTCGAATTTTTCAAATGACGTAAGACATGTGTATTTCATGCAAAATATTATTAAACTTTTTAGGACGATTTCACTACGTTAGATGTAACAGAACATGCAAAACAAATTGTCAAAGCAGTACGTGATATTAACCAAATGAGAAATTGCAATCTCACATTAGTATTTTTGACAGATATATTTAAAGGAAGCGATCTTAAGAAAATTAGGGAATCAGGTATGCAGATACAATTTATCATACCACATTTTATTCCAAAATATTTTATTCCTAAGTATAAGCGTAAAATATTTTTATAGGACTTACTAAACATCCTTTGTATGGCTGTGGAAAATCGTGGAACAGAGGTGATATAGAACGTTTGCTACATTATATGGTATTGAAAGAATATTTACAGGAGCATATGTACATCAATAATGAAATTGCTTGTGCCTATATTAAAGTTGGTTCCAATGCAAAGGAACTAATGACAAGAAAGGATACAAAGGTAAATAGAACATTTGTGTAATGAACCCTTTGGAGATGAATGTCGACATTTTGGCGAAATCAAATCATATTTGGAATACTACATTGCAAACAAACATTTTATTATTCAAGCATTCGATATGTAATTTAGCTTCATACGCTGAAAATTTTGTATACTTTAAAAAATCTTCGTCCGCAGAGGATTAATATATAAGCTTCAAATATAACATTTTAATTCTACTAACAAATAATTCTATTAACAGGTTTTAATCCCCATAAGATCCTCCAATAATAGCACTACTGCGGTGGCTACAGTATCTACAGTTACGAAGAAAATTGATAAAGTTATTTTGGAACTACAAGAACGCTGTTACAAGGAACTGATGGAGATAATAAAAGGAATTGCTGGAGCACTCGATATTTCTGCATCTTCGGTAATGAATATGATAGCAGTCAGATCAATGAGTCAGAAGTTACCTGATAGTGAAGAAGCTATGTTAGAAATACCGCACGTTACTAAAGCAAATTTTGAAAAATACGGGAAAGCTTTATTAGACATTACACAAAAATACGCTGCAGAAAAATATGGTAAAGTATTCCATTTTATTGATTATAGAAAAGCTATATGTATCTATGTAGTTTTTTAAATTAATTTATTGATTAAATATAATTTATTATCATAATTTACAGTATTATTAAATGAGGATGCGGAAGAGAGTAATAATGATGACGACGACGACGACGATGATGGTACATGGGATACTGATATTGCTACATATTCAGGTAAAACTAACAGAACTGGTGGTAGAAAGCGGAAAGGTAAAACCAATTATCGAAGTGGTGCGAAGAAGTTCAAGCGAACGACATCAAGGCAAGTCATAAAAGATATTTTTTATTTAATATAATTTACATAATTTATATTATTTCCTGATATATTAATAGCGTGAACAAAGCAAGAACTACAACGAAAGCAAAAGCAACATCAACCAAAGGTCCTGGCCTAGTTAGTTTCACCCAACGGAAAGAATTTCTTTCAAATCCTAATAGGTTCATGCAAATTGGTTAATACTCCTTTTGTATCATATCTTTGTGTTCATAGGTGTGTCACATAACAATTATGACTGTTTTTTTATACTTCAAGATACAATGTATTTATATTTATAAAAATTTGGTATTAGTATTAAGTATTATTTTTGTATGTTCACAATGTAAATATATATATATATATGAAACTTTATAATAAAAAAATATATTTTTAATAATAATTTTAAAAAGATGTGTTCATATTAAATAATTAAGGGAACAACAGATTATATATTTTTTATTTAAACTAAATTTACAAGAATTATTGTATATTTATATACATATTCACAAAATATATATTTTTACTATTTAAATTAATAAATAAAAATTCATTGTAATAGCATATCTTTTTTGACAACAGTACATTAGAAGATAAATCTGCGATTAAAATAATAAACTACCTTGTAACTACGTGTTATCTTATTTATAATTCAGGTTGCATTATTCTTGCTTGACGATCCTCATTTTTAATATGCTTCTTTAATAAATTCATGACTTCGTTATCAAATTCAGGTGGGGTGGGTTTTGCTCCTGTGGCCCAATAGAATATGTCCCAATCATTTGATGGTAAATTTATGAGACGGTCATACAGTTGTAATTGTTCATCATTAAAATCAGATAAATATTTTTTGGCGAATGTACTTAAAAGTAGGCCGTTTTCTAACATACCTCTCTTACGAGATTGATATATTAGCCTATAAGAAGAAATGTTATTATTGTCATTTTATACTTGTATTTCTCTTAATAATTTCTCCTATTACTACCTGGCTTTTTTAGTTGTTGTACTTTCTTCATTACGTTCAACATACGGCGGTATATAAGGTTCATGACTTTCCAGATGAATTATGTCTTTAGATTCATTTTTATATGCTGTACAATTTATTGAAATACATCTTACCAATGGTACCGGTTTTACCTTAAATTACGCATTACTTTCTTAGTATAGTTGTATAAAGATAAGAACATAATTACTTTTTACTTTATACATTTTAACTTACAACTGATACAGCAGATCTTATAAAAACATTCATTCTGTTATTGTATCTTTCGAGTTCAGAAAACAAAATTTATAACTCTATCTTATGAGGTTAAGGAAAATGTACTATCATAATATATACTGGCATTGATCGAAAGAAGTATGTATATATAACTGTAAAAGTTACGTTACTTATAGTTGTTTTTTAAAGCTTATCCATTGGATTATTTTTATTCGGAAATTCATGGTTAACATAATATAGTTGTTTATACTTATACATTACAAAATTATACATATTATATATAAATTAGATATAGTTCTGCTTCTCATCACGGTGAAGCCAGAAAGTAACGATTACGTTCTTCCCACTTCGCCTTACCCCTTCCACTACTTCATTTTTCATCAGCGGGTATCCTCCAACAACCTTCGCAACCATCGTAGAACCCACTGGTAATGGCAGGGAGAGGATAAACTGTGTTTTCCTCAAATCACGCCAGACTCTAATTATACAGAGAATTGACAATGTGAGCTAGATTTTAGAAGCAATTGATTGGCGCAACGATTTAGCGTTTCAATAAATACTATTAGTGTAGTTGTTATTGTTGTTATTTAATAAATTGTTTGTTGTTAACCAAATTGTTGTTCATTCGGGATTTATCCTACAATCGGTAACTCGATGGGGATTTAACATTACAATGGGTACATACATGTACACCCGTCCCTCAATTTACGCGGTCAGAAAATATAAATTAAAATTTATATATACTAGCTTTTATTTTCAATATCTTTTCTTTTGTATTTACAGACTTTATCTGCGCGATTTTCATTCGTGTAAAACGAATCCACGTGAAACGGATACTCTGCATAAATTGAAGGACAAGTGTACAGATATTATTATAAACTTGTTTATAAATCTATGCGAATAAACTACATGCTTTATTTTGTTTTGTATGTATTCAAATGGTTATAATAGTTCATGTAGGACATTCTTTTATTTTCTGTTCTTCCTTATATTTTATAGCGTATAATGTAAATGTATAATATTATAGTTTATATACTGTGTCGAACAGATCAATGTGTTTGAAGAACAGCACGTTGTTTAAGCAGACACGTACATTAAACATCTAAAGTGTATTTGATATTACTTTAAAATATAGTGATATCAAATCATTGTGGTACAAATTCCATATTGATAACAGTTACAGTTACTTCATAAAATGCAACGAATATAGAAATAATAAGTTAGTAAAATAAATATTTTATATTATATGGTATTTGGTAACAATTACACGAATGTTACATTGAATTAAAAAAAGGGGTTTCAAACTAATTCACGTAGATAAATAGAATAGTATACACATATTTCAAAAGCATTACAAAAATTTTAATTATATTTTTATTTTATTGTATGTAATATTTTAAGGCAAATCTGAATATATATATATATACGTTTATTGTCATACAAAATTAAGTAAATTATCGTTAGCACAATAACGTACTTACTTATGTTATAACAGTATTATGATGTCAATTTCATTATGTACGTTTTTATATGAATACAATAAATACAAATTTTAAGTTATATTATATACCATTGAACAAAATTTACCAAAAAAATCAAAGTACAAAACCTTTATTGTACTACACATTAATATTATATAATATATATTTATATTTATATATACAAAGCTTTAAAAAAACCATTTAATATTTATATAGTACATGCAATACACTATGCTAAGCAGATAAACTTTAGTAAACATAGGTCAAAATCTCAAAAATCTCTTTAGGATGTCTGATTTAAATTGATTCATATGAATATCTTGGAAATTATTGATGATAGAAAACTTGGTTTCTTAAAATGGAATTATATATTTCTTAATGCATTAATCGGTGCAACTCGTCCTTCTCGACATAAAGGTATTAAGTCATTAATAGCGAAAGATTAGTTTATATTTCAATTTTGATAACCAATGTGTGTCGCATTGTTTAAATTCTTGGAATAAACGGTTTAATTCTAGCCCCTTTCTTTGTCTCTAATTGTATAAACTATTAAAGAACTGACAGCTCATACACTTATGAAGACTCAATTCTTCGCACTAATTCGGATCTTGGCATAATACAAAATTTAATAAAATTAAGAACATATTGATTTTTTAAATTCTATTTCAAACAGCGAAATAAATTTCTTCATATAAAATAGTTTTATCATCATGTAATCGGTATTACACGGTAAAACTAATAATTTTGTATTATGCGAACACAACCTAATTAGTGTGATAAAAAATAGCCAACTAAAGTGATTAACATAAAAGAAATGGTATAATAATAGATTTAAGGTTTCCACAATTTTAAAAGACCATCTTCGCTATAAGAACATAAAAGATTTTGATGAGGATGATGTGTTAAACCAATTACATCCTTTTCATGTATCTGTAACAAAGAAGATAAAATATCTATCTTATCATTTTTTAAATATCATTTTCAAAGTAGGCTAAACATTTACAGATATTCTATTATGGAGCAACAATTATCACTTGTACATCGCCATTTTAGCCATTTAAGTTAAAACATTTTATTATCGTGTATCGTGAGTTTGGATTTTGTCGTCAACAGCAAATATTAATAGTAATGAGAATACAAAAATGAAATACCATAGTACAAATGGTACTTACATTGAGAGTTCTTTCAAGTTTTCCTGAAGACGTAGAGAAACAATAAAGTACAAGGTCTTCACCAACACAATAAATAAATTCACCACGTGGACTTACAACTGTACACACAAAGTCACCTCCCTCTCTTTTACCACTAGAGAATGATCTTACAATTTGGCCTTGCATGTTCATAATAACTACTGTATTTGAGCGATTACACACGACAAAATGTTCAGGATTTCGAGGTAAAAGGTGTATACTATTAACAGTTAAGTCTGCAGCACCTAAAGATTTGTACGTGCCTATACATTCCGTTGTTTTTAAACTCCAAATTTTTACAGTTCCATCTGATGATGCACTTAAAACAAAAAGGTACAACAACAATTAAACACTTAAATTATAATTATTAAAAAGTTCATTAAGTAAAAGATGTACCTTATTATACCATGTCCATCTGGTGCAAAGACAACCTCATTCACAAAAGATGAATGTCCTCGAAATTCTTTTAACGTTTTTCCGGATTTAAGACCATGTATCCTGCATTAGAAATAAAACTACAATACTGACAAAAACCAATGCCTAAAGTTACTATTTTTATATACCTTATAGTAGTATCAAACGATGCAGATAAAATTTGACTATTATCCCTACTAAATTGAAGACATGTAACACCTTTTGAGTGAGCTTTTTCAAATCTTCTTAAACACTGTCCACTTTGCACTCTCCATACTTTTATTTTTCCGTCTTGCCCACCGCCAGCCAACATTTCACTATCACGACTAAAAGACATTGATAATACTGCTTGTTCCATCATCATGAAATTATCTTGTGCTTGATATTTTAAATCTTTCCTAATTTTGCCAGTTGTGAAATTCCAGACTTCAATAAATCCATCAACGGAACCAGTAACTAAATATTGACCATCTGGTGAAAAGCGTGCACATTCTACATGAGATTTTTGTCCAAATTTAATTTGTTTGGAAAGTTGTGTAGGATATTTTTCTTCTTCCTGATCTCGTACAGCTGCTTTTCCTCTGAACAAATCTATTGTAGTACCAGGTGGAAGTAAACCCTGATGTTGCTGCCATTTTAACGCTTGTCCTAATAATGCGAGTAATCTACTCGAAGGTACTACAGATACTTCACCAGCAAGTGCTGTAGCGATGTAAGCTCTTCGTTTTTCCTTTGTACTGCCGTCAGGGTATGCTTCACGTGGATCAAAATATGAGCGGGCAAGTAAATTTTCTGTATAATAAAATGTGACATATTACTACAAGAAAATAATATTAATTTGTTTAGAAAATTCTTAATATTATAGATGTATCACCTTTATTACCTTCTTAATAAAAAAATTAAAAAATCAATCAATTTGATACATTTAAGTGTACCTTCCATGCAAATTATCATCAATTGAAACATCAAAATAAGTAAACAAGCCTGAAGTATATGTTTATCTTACATCAAGTATACAAGAAATATTTCTTATGTGTTTATAACTATTCATTCATTCAAATTACTGTAATATTCTATATTAGAAAAAATACTTTAAAAACTAAAAAATTATTTAAAAGTTTAATGAAAAATATTTTAATGAAATGTTTCAAAATGAGTGAAAATTTTAAAGGAACCTATATAATAAAATGTTCTAAAAACAAAAAATTGTAATACTACACACTTATTATTCTACAATGTGCAAATTAAAATTTAACATTAAGTTGGATTATTAAATAAGATATAACTTTATAGAATAATAACTATAAAAAATAATTCTACTTTTACAAATAGTGCAAACTTTTGTCACAGTTCAATACATTATAACATAAATCTTTTGAAAGTAGCATTATTAAATAAAATTGAAAACAGATATAATAATAAATAAAATTGATCTTGCAATTACTTCACCTAAATGGATATATCGTTCAGGTTCTTGTTGTTTCATCATAATCATTGGATCTGTTTGACGTAACAATGATCTGGCTGCACCTAGCTCTCGTAGCTCAATTAATTCTAAGACAACCTGTAAATTACGCATATAATGTATATAATCACATATCTCTCAATCAATGCATTTATTTTACAAACATAATAACATACCTGTTCATATAAGTCAATAAGTTTTTTGTCTGGCAATTTTAAAGACTGTATCGCTTTTAATACTGTATCCCAATGTCCATTATTTATATCTGCTACAAAACCATCTACACTATCCACTGTATTCAACGACACACCAGTTTCTTCCTATTAACAGAATGTATACATTTATGTTTATATTTGATTAGTTATTGTGAACGAGGTTTAATGATATTACATAAATAAAAGTTAAGTACCTGTAGTGTTTGTAATGTTTTGACAAGATTAGATTCTTTAAGGTACTGTTGTATTAAACGAATTACACTAAAAGCAAAGAATAAAATATACTCATTCTGAATAAACAAAAAATATTGTATTAATATGTATCAGGTACATACTCAGCGGACTCAATTTCAATCGACATTGTGTACAATATGCGGGAAATGATACATAAAGAAAGAAGTAAATATATATTTTTAAATAACGAAAATCAAAATCAGCTTAAACCATTACCACGACACAAAATATTCATAGAGATGAAAGAGAAATCTTTTCCGGCCGCACTTTTCAATGTGAAGAGTCTCTAATTAATACCACCAGAGGACTCGTATAGAGCTACTGAACATATCGACTTAAACTGGCATTACACTGCAACGTTATGAACAATAGAAATTAAAATAAAAAATCATTCATTAAATTCGTATCACAAATTTGTTTGTGTCTTTACAAACACACAAACATAGTATATCATTTTTGTGTATGCTAAGTTATGTCCATAGAACTTCCGTAGATACCATTTCTTATTAACCGACGTTACCGATAATTCAAGACATCAGGCTTAATAGTACTTCATTTCTATTATGAGTTTCTAATATAATTTAGCAACAACAAATACACGCAGTGCATATATTTGTATGATGGAAATAGTATTTATATCATAAATGAGGTCCTCGTACAACACGTCCGTGTACAATGTCGGAGCACAGACAAGAATCTCGTCTTTGTTATTAAAAGTCGATTAAATTGCAGACGAGACCTTGTAATTAAATAGAACAGTTATGTTAATTTCCACGCATGTAGAAAAGCAGACTGGTTCAGCATTTCATGGCCACCAACCTATATCACCTATCCCCTAAATAAGTACGTAATAATAACAAATACAATAACGAAACACTAAACTGTAGACATGTTTTAGAAAATTAAGAGACTATTTTAATAAAAATGATTTTAGCACGTATATTTGAATCTCGTGTCTTCTATGCATCAGGTCAATTTTTATCACCTTCGAAGATGTAAGCATATTGAATGAAACATGGTACTTACACATTTAGCATAATTTGATCATAGTCTACAAAAGTATATTTTTTATCATTTGTGAAATAATAAAAAAATATATTGATTGACATTTATGCTATACAAAATTTATAGCTTGTATATATTATTATAATTGATTTGGTTATCAATATATATATGGTAAACCGAAATATTAATATTGCGATATTGAAAGAAACTGAAGTTGTGAAATACAAAACTGTACATACCACCACTCTGTACATTTTAATTTGTATACATTATAACCTAATGTAACATTCATTTGTTCTAAACAATATTTCTAACCGTGTAATCTACTTTATGAATTTAGAAAATTATTGCTCATAAAAGTATAGTAAAAAATTAAAGAAAATATATAAATTAGCAATTTCACAAGCAAAACGATTCTTTTGTGAGCTTAGATGAAGTGAATCAGTCAAATTTAAGAAATTGTAGGTAAGGAAATAATATAATAAAAAAATTGCTAAACATTTTTATGAAATTTTGATGTCTTAGAAGTTATTTGATAAAATTTAATAAAATTTAATTATTTTTGTCTTGTTAACATTAGTAAAAAAATTTTAATGTATTTATATTATTTACAAATAATACGTAGAAAAAAAAGTATATGTATAGTTTATCTAAATTAAATATTATATGTTTATTCATATTTTTGCAGGCATAAATCATTTAATATAAAATTATTTGCTGTTAATATGATACCACATAATTGCATAGAAAAGCGATACGAGAACATAATTAAATCGCCAAATGATACAGCAAGCTACAGAGGCTTATTATTGACAAATAAATTGAAAATTTTGCTTATTAGTAATCCAACAACTGATAAAAGTGGAGCAGCATTAAGTGTACATATTGGTAATGTTGAATAGAATCGTTTTATTAAAATTGATCATAAGATTTTAAAATCTTATTGTTTATAATTTATTTTTATATTTTAATGTTGTGTATAGGTCATGCAAGTAATCCAGATGATTTGCCGGGTTTAGCACATTTTTGTGAACACATGTTATTCTTAGGAACAGAAAAATATCCACAAAAAAATGAATTTAATACATTTTTATCACAAAATGGTGGCTCATATAATGCAGAAACAGACACAGATCATACTACTTATTACTTTAATGTATATTCAGAAAAGTTAGAAGAGGCATTAGACCGTTTCGCTCAGTTTTTTATAGCACCACTTTTTACAGAAGCTTTAACTGAGTTGGAATTAAATGCTGTCCATCTAGAGTATGAAAGTAATATTGCAAGTGATGTATGGCGTTTTCGTCAATTGGAAAAGTCAGCTGCAAATCCAAATCATCCTTTTTCAAAATTTGGTACTGGAAATAAAGAAACATTAAGTATTATACCAAAGCAGAAAAATATAAATGTAAGAGAAAAGCTTCTTGAATTTCATGAGACTTATTATTCGGCCAACGTAATGGCATTATGTATACTTGGGAAAGGTAAATAGAATATTTTGTTTTTATATTTATATATCAAAAGAAATTGTCTTTGAATAAAAGTGAAGTAGGAAATGTACATTTATATAGTTCGTTATTAAGTTCGTGCCGTTTTCTTACTACATCAAATAATATTTTATTAAATATAAAAGTCTTAAAATTTCACGATCTATCGCTCTCAAATACCGTCTACATACTGCCTAAACTAAAACATAAAGGTATAATCACTTAAATTCTTATATCGCTGTGTGATTACGAAATGTAACGCGAGAAGTATAAACACCGCGGCACGAACTTACCGGACGACCTTATAATTATTAAACTTCGCTTTATACAGGGTGTCCTATATAAGTGTCACAATTTTGAAGGCACTTTTGATAATCTGATTAAACGTGGGACATTCTGTATATAAGGAAAAGAATTTTAATTTTCACGAAATATTTATTGTTTATTTAGAAAGCTTAGATGAACTTGAAGAAATAGTATTAAAATTATTTTCACAAATAAAAAATAAAGAAATTGAAATACCTGTTTGGACAGAACATCCCTTTAGTGAACAGGATTTCCAGACCAAGTGGTACATTGTTCCAATAAAAAATACAAGACATTTAAATATTACATTTCCTCTACCTGATTTACGAGATCATTACAAATCTGCGGTAATAATTAAGCTTTAACACATGCTTCATTAGTCTTTATTATTTAATAAGAATTCATTTCTTTTTCTCTCTTTTTATTTCAGCCAGCATATTATTTCGCATATTTATTAGGACATGAAGGGAAAGGGTCATTACTATCTTCATTAAAAGAAAATGGATGGTGTAATTCACTTGAGGCAGGCAAACGACTAGGCGGCAGAGGTTTTAACTTCTTTAATGTTACTGTTGATTTAACGGAGGAAGGTATTCAGCATGTTGATGATATCATTCTAATGACTTTCCAATATATTAATATGTTAAGAAAACATGGACCAGTTGAATGGATATACAATGTAATTACACATAAATTACAGTAACTATATGGTATATACAAGATATTCTCGAATTAATGACACAATCTGAAAGGACGTGAATTTACATACAAAAACAAGTAAAAAATGTAGACTAATGTATTTTCTTGTATTTTTAAATGAATCAATATTATAAATTAACTTGTTGTATGCATATTATGCTTACAGTAAATACAGCAAATAAGGAATGGACGCATTAATCAAGCCTTATTAAATAATACACCTGATTGAAATTCAAGTATAATTTTTTAAATATGGACAGCACAAATATATTATTCTACATTTTTTACTTGCTTTTTCATGTATTAAGTATAGAAATTAATTTGATACCATTTTATTTAGTTATTTACAAATCCGTTTTTATACATTTAAACATGTTTCTGTTCCTTTGAGGTTTTCCATTTTTCCTTTAATGATGAAACAAAGTGATAAAAAGTAATGGCTAATATATCATGGATTGAAAGATACATAACCCTTTTTGTAAATAAATATTAGTTTTATTCTAGAAGAACATGTAACTAATCTCTACATTTAAAGTAGATTTAACTTTTTTGATATGCCACCAATTTACAGTATAATTCAAAAGACTTGCTCAAGTTATTATATACAGGATGTCCTGCTATAAGTGCCATTTAGTGCTAGAACGAAAATGTACAAAGACTTTTATCATAATTTTTCAAGTAAATACAGAAAATATTTACTATGCTATATTATGTTATGGAAGTTTTTTTTTAAACTTTTTCATTCTTGAATTGTTTCAAAGTTAGTTTAAAAACATGCAAAAATCGTTTTTCTCTATAATAATACCAAATTGAAAATATAATATTAAGATAAAACGACATGAGATAACCTTGATATGATCTTAAAAAACAGAGATAATTTGCTTTAATATGTAACGGAGCTATTTTGCTTTAGCATTCACCATTTGATTATTATATTAAACTGCACTTATAACGGGACAACCTGATGTTACTATATTTATATTATTTTATCTGTTGTTTATGTTTAGTAATTATGCAAAATTAATTCTCTAAACTAATTAAACCCAAAAACGACTGAATCTACATATAAAAATAAGATGAAAATGTACAATATCTTTTTCATAATCTATGCATGAAAAAAATAGTTAGAGTTTCTGCTAGATACATATATTATTGAATACAAGTTGCTTAATGTATTTGTTCCTTATATATTGTACTTATTTCAAGAATGATATACGCACATGTCAAGTTTTTCTTTAGGTATAAAGCTCCATATGAAAAAATGTTACTTTACATTTTTTATTTATTTTTTCATGTAGATTCACGTTCTTTCGGGTGGTACACTTTCACTGCTACTGAAATTTGATTTTTTTTATCGGTTACACTACATATAGATACGCACTACAGCATATTTCATCTTTTTTAAGACTAGCAGTCTACTCTTTCTGACCACTAAAAATAAAATGTTTCGATTTTGGTCTCAAAAAGTAGTATATTTTTATTTATGATTACAAATAGGAAAGAATAGTATGTTACTTTGGTATTTTGCTACAAAAAATAATAAAGTTTGTCCTTAGCTGTGAATGATATCATATTTCATAGATAGCATAATATAATTGAATTTTTAACATTTTAATAATAATATTAAAAGAAAAAGACGTTTTATACAATTTCATATAATTTTAATAAAATTATTTGTTGCTGGAATCTAACATAATAAAATTAACACTTTCCTGTACTATGTAATTTTCATTATTATTTTTGAAAATATTCATCACTCATTTTTTTATAAGTACTGTTGGTATTAAAATCAATGCAGTATCAAAAATAGAGCAATAAAAAATAAAAGTTTTAAACATTCAAGTGAAAAGGAAAGTGGAAATTTTAATAATAAACAAATGCAAAGCACAATATGTATAAAATTTTCTTATTGCATAAAAGAAATTATATTTAATTATTTCCTATATTTTCTAAAATAAATCACTTATAATATAGTTGTCACAAGCAGAATAAATTTTTCTTTGTAAATGGTAATTACAGTAGGGTTGAAGATTTAGATCAATTTATGCGAGTACGTTAATCATGAAAAAAATATATTAATTTCAAAATATGTTTTCTCATTTTTAACATCATTTTTTATTATAGGAATATAGAGATATTGCGGATATGAACTTTCGATTCAAAGAAAAATCATGTCCAATTACATATGTCACACACCTTGTGTATCATATACACGATTATCCAATGGAAGAAGTCTTAGTGGCAGAAAATATTTTCATGTCATGGGACCCTAATTCCATTGAATGGTTAATGGGATATTTAGTACCAGAGAAAGTAAGAATTCACGTTATCGGACAAGCGTATGAAAGTATATGTAATGAAACTGAAAAATGGTATGGTACTAAATTTAAAAAGGAAAAAATACCACAAAAAACAATTGACAGATGGATTAACGCTGGTTATAATTCAAATCTTCAGCTGCCACAGAAAAATAAGTTTATACCAAAACGATTTGATATAAAACCACAGGAAAATGTAACTAAAAATGTTAAAAATATTACGAAAGTCAGCAATTATTCATTGTCTAATTGTTTATTTTTTTTGTTTATTAGATAACTAAATTTCCTGTAATTATTGAAGACACCCCACTTATGAGATTATGGTTCAAACAAGATGATGAATTTCTTGTACCTAAGGCTAATTTGTTTATAGACTTTGTCAGGTAATATGCAATGAAAAATCGGATTTGATCCATCAAGCACAAGATGCAATGCATATAAGTATTCATTGAATACAAATTTATTATATATATATATATATATTTTATTTGAGTATTTATTTTACAGTCCATTGGCATATATAGATCCACTTAGTTATAATTTAACTTACATGTTTGTACAGTTACTAAATGATTCTTTAAATGAATATGCGTATGCTGCTACTTTAGCATGTCTCAAAGGGGACATTTCTTATAATAATTATGGAATAACTGTAAGTATAAATTCTTTTGCAAACTTTTGTATGTTTTTCTTGATAAGAAAATTAAAATCAAAAATGTTTTAATTACATATGCGTTTTTTTGTAATTGACACATTTTTTAGATAGCGATCACTGGATATGATGATAAGCAACACATTCTGTTAGAAGCAATTATGGATAAAATGATTAATCTTGAAATTGATCCAAAGAGATTTGAAGCTTTGAAAGAAAATGTATGTATTATTTCATAAAAATTAAGTATAAAAATAAGAATGCTACAATAAAAAATAATTATTTTAACTTTAATGTTTACAATCTTTAGTATTCCAGAGCGTTATCAAATTTTGAAGCAGGGAAGCCATATCAACATACAGTTTATTATCTTGCTGTTTTATTGTCAGAACGAGTGTGGACAAAAGATGAATTGCTAAAAGCGACCTCTCGTATGTATAAAATAATTATTAACTTTCTAGGGCATTATGAATATACTTACAATGTATTTGGGAAAAGAACCTTTATTCGCAATTACTTTAACTTTAATGTTTATTCAGAATTAACAGTTGAAAGAGCACAACAATTCATCCCACAATTTTTAAGCAAAGTACATATGGAGTGTTTAATACATGGTAATATTACAAAATCGGAAGCTATTGAAACTGCTAAGTTAGTAGAATCAAAATTAACAAGTGCAATACCTCAGATAGTACCACTCTTACCTGGGCAAATGATTTTACATCGTGAAGTTAAATTAGAAGATGGTAAGTAAAGAAGTTTAAAAAAAAATTAGTGTTTAGAAATCTTCCTCCTAATTTCAAGAAACTTTGTAATGCAGAATAAGAATCAACCTAATATTTATGATCATAATTATAACTATAATCGAGTAACATTTCATTGAAAGATGTTTATCACATGTTCAAAATTGTGAAATATGAACAAATATTTATGCGGAGTATGCTTTTTTATTGTATAGTAATACAAAAATCCAGTGACTAAATAATAAGTCTCATCTTAAAGCAAACAATTTTTTCATTTTACTTATGTTTTAGGTTGTCATTTTTTGTTTCAAGTAGAAAATAAGTTTCATAAAAGTACGTGCACAGAAGTCTATTACCAAATTGGTGTACAATCAACAGAATCAAATATGTTAACAGAGCTTTTAGCACAAATTATTGCAGAACCATGTTTTACTACCTTAAGAACTAAGCAACAATTGGGATATATTATTTATAGTGGCGTTCGAAAAGCACATGGTGTACTAGGTTTAAGGATAATACTTCAAAGTGACAGACATCCAAAATATGTTGAACAGCAGATCGATGCATTCATGCACTCTATGCTGGTTAGTAGTACTATTTTAAATATTTTATACATTAAAAACCCTAGATCTTCGTTTTTTAAGTAAAATTATTTTAATCATTTGTGATCTATTAACTATTTTTTATTGGTAATTATATTTATTATAATATTTATGGTAATGATGGTAAGTATTGAAAATAAGAATGGTAAAAATGACTGCATTTAGGGTTTTAGACTTAATAAATGAATGTCCATAATTTAAAAATTATTGTACAATATACGCATTTATCACTATTAAAAATAATTTCAGAAACACATATCAAACATGTCTGAAGAAGAGTTTAATAGACACAAAGAATCATTGGCAATGCAACGTTTAGAGAAACCAAAAACATTGACTACTTTATTTACTATTTTTTGGGGTGAAATTTCATCGCAGCAATATAATTTTGACCGAGCAAATATTGAGGTGGCATATCTGAGAACCATAAAGCAAGCAGAAATATTAAAATTCTGTGAGGTATGCACATCAAATTTGTATTATACACCTGAACATTCTTAAAAATTATACCATATTAAAATGTGTGTTATTTATAGGAAATGCTTGAACCTAGTATTCAACGTAAATTATCAGTGCACATAATTTCAACAATAAGAAAATCTGAACTAATGGAAAATGATGCAGATCTAGAAACCGAATGTAATACATCAGGTTCTTATGAATATAAGAAGATACATGACATTACAGAATTCAGAATTAGTCAGTCACTGTACCCACTATTGAAACCTTTCAATAATATACCAAGGAAAGGATTACTTTCATCTAAATTATAGAAATTTTAAAGTTGTGTTTAACAATTGTGCATTAATTTCCAAATGATGTACCTATAAATTGTAACATACACCAATTGATATAGAGTGAAATAATTTTACCATACTCTGTTACATAAAAAAGGATTTAAATAAATATATTAATATAAATCATATAACATGTATATTAATTACTTGAAGAAACAAACTCTAATACTCTAATACATAAAACAAAACTTTTATAAAAAGATATGTTATGTAATATATATATTTTTTTACAAAATTAAAATAGTATAAATTATCGATACAATTTTTCAAAAATACAGAAACATAAATATTATAATGCTATGAAATTTACATTTCTTAAATCTGTATCATAGACTAGGTATAGGATAGACTTAACATGCAATGTACAATTTTGTCATACGCTCTCGGGAATCACAAGACGTCCTTACCATTTTCGTCTCACGCTTTGTCATATCGATTTAGGCTGGGTTTGCATGGCAGTGCTATAACTGATAGGAATTAGAATAAAAAATACTGAAACACAGGCTTAAGATATGTACAGATGTTGCAGTTTATGGGAATTTTTGTGTAGACCTTCGGGGGTTTCAAAACCCTCATACCATTTTGGTGTGCACTCGACGTTATCGATAGTACAAGATTTTAGGCTTTTTAGCAGAAATCGGACTAGCTGTATACTTCATTTTTGCAGATTCTTAACGCAAACCATGAGAGATAGATGAAGATCCATTTCATCAAATCTCCCCTCTTTAACCTAACGTATCTTAATATTAATGTTAATATTACTTAATATGACTTCTTAATATTAATATTACTTCTACTCCCTCGGAGGTTGTCTTCTTTCTTAAGTTTAAGCATAACTAAAGAAATGTAGCATAATTAGTAATATGGGACAAAAGTAAAAGGAAAATAGTATCCTACGGCAAACAATCGACGTCTTCTTTCGTAAACTTAATTCAGCCTTATAAGATGACTTAAACTATACATGAATCGCAGTTGCCGAGCAATTATCGGGCTAAGAAGTAAAGGAAAGAAACATGCGAAATGAGTGAATTAATTAACACTAACCGTACCGGAAAGCGTTTTCTTTTGTTCGTTTAATTTTATATCAATTCTTATATTGTCCGATTAATTGGTTTTTCAATTTTCATCCTTCCTCTTAATTCTGTTTACACAAAGAAAAATTTATCATCTAATTTGTTTATCTTTATTTTGTAGTCAGTTATTTGACTAGTTACGGTAGGGAAAGTGTCGGTATGGTTAGTGTTAAATCAAAGAATAATTATTTGGCATATTTTAACATGAATAATATAATTTTGCAGCCGATCGGCCCAGCACCATTCTCGACAGGAACTACTCTATCGACAATAATGCTAGTTTCCAGGTCCACTATGAGGAGATTGCTGTGAAGGACTCACTTATACTTTCGAATTTAACCCCTTGCCTTTTAATTTGTGTCTCAATCACGATCGATACAATTATTTTGTCATTAATAATTAATTGGAAAAATAGAGAAAAATTCTGGTGATGTTCTATGTTTATGCTTGCTAAAATATAATCATTAATAATAGAAGAATAACAATTAATTTCAATTTTAAAAAATTCAGTAATATTTATGCTTATTAAATTCTATTTAAAATCTTCACCGCGAGTGTAACACAGTTATTATAAAGCAAGGAGTTAGTATGAAGTTCTTTCTACGAGATTATCGATCTGTTAGTAACAATACATAATAAATAATAATGAATATTAAGTGGTACTTTAAACAGTGATCAATAGATTGCAAATTTTTATGTATTTATAGGAAATTTGAAAGTTCAAAATTGCACTGAATGCGTACAATACGTAAAACCATAGGAGTATGAAATATTCAAATCTTGATGCTATTTTACAATGTTCGCTAAAAAAACAATTTTCTATTGCAATTCTATTTTTCTAATTGTATTCTGGAAAGTTTTAATCTGCATAAATATCCCCAGTTTAATGATACTAATAAGTAAATAAATAAATAAATTAATTAATAAGTAAATAGAACGTACATTAATTGCAATAAATGTAGAATAACAGTACGGCAAAATACAATCATTATAACACAAGTATAATAATTAAAAAATAATATTACTCAGATTATTTCAAAATAATTGTGAAATGTTTGGAAAATAATGATACTCTTTTGTTTTTGTTTTAAATGAAGCCTTTAGAGATAATAAGGATCGTATGCAACCACTTTGGCTTAATTATACGCTGTGAGATGTACAATATATACCAAACTACATTTGCAATAGGCACCACAATATTACTTGCCATGACTTTAAAAAATAAACTCCATAATTTTCATGAAATATTTCATTCTTATAGTACATTTAATTTCATTTGTATTAGATCGTGTAATATGAAATATTAGATTTTGCGGAAAGAAGGAAACCTTATTTAATGTTCTAAAAGACGTTTATTCAATCAAAATATGCTTTATTCGATTCGATACACTTCTGTCAACGTGTTTTTTAATGAATATATTCCTTTTCTAAAAAATTCAAAATATTTAAAATAAACATAATCTAAAGACATCGTTATAAATTACTGTTTCGATACCGAATATTGGCGGTATCCATATTTTTAAAAAACGCAACAAATAGTTATGCATAATTCGTAAAAACTTTTCGCAAAAAGTTACAAACAAGTTGTATGAAAAACAAAGGAATAAAAATAGGAGTACAAACATTTACGAGTAAGAAAAATTCGAAAAAAAATCCGAAAAAATTTCATATTATACGACCTAATATGTCTTCATAAAATTTATAAAATAAAATAAATTCACTAGGGTGAGAGAAATTATAAATATAAATTATACCCGTTTTTTACACATTAATTATCATTAACGTGATATTTTTAGATACCTTTTAAGGGTTAAACTGCAAAGTCATACGCAGCCATTTTGACTACTGCGAACCAGTATGCGGTTTGAGCAAAGTTTCAGCATGTTTTTAGGCATTTTTTAAATTGCGAAACTAAAAAATGCTCGTTCAATAAACATTGCAACCTTAAATCCAAAAATAATCGCAATGAACCTCCAATAAATCGTCAGGATCGTTTAACATCAATGAACACCAGTAAATACTGTTCAACATTGTCCAACACTGTTTAACATTGCCTAACACTTTCCAATTAGTCCAATAAATCCCAGTAATGTCCAGAAATGCGCGAGAATCATTAGAGACGCGAGAGGAAAGAGTTCCTTCACGAACGATCATTAACTGAGAACTGATGATGAAATTTCGGAGTCCTTATCATTGTTCCCCACTTTTCGTTCCTTATCAGCGATATTCGGCGACCTTTCATCCTGCTCACTATTATTACTTTTGGACATTTAATTATTGTAAGAATGTAATGAGTTTTACAGGGCTTTACAGCTACGAAATAGGCTGTTTATTTAATTTTACTGAAAAGGTTTTCGGAAGACCTCCGGTATCTACGCGTCCATGATAAAAGTCGTGACCGTTGCGCTTATCAAAATCCTGGAATTGACCGACAATGGATCCCGGTCAATGCGAAAAAATTTTATTTTGTACGCACTAATTACTGGAATTTAGATTCTGTTATCATTTATTTAACCTTCTTTGAAATTTTAATGTAGTAGAAACAGAATTTAATATTAACCAAAATTGATATTCTATCATAATTTATTTAACCTTTATTGAAGTTTTATTTTAACATGAACTGAGGTTTATATTCCCCAAAATTTATATTTTATTACCTTTTATTTAACTTGACTAAGTACTGGAAAGTAAAAATGTACAAATCTCAGAATTGTCACATTTGATCGCGTAAAGAAATGTGCGTACATATCTCGGGATAGTTTATTCGACCTTTCTTTATTTTATTTATTTTAATTCTAATTCGATGAACATTGGATTATTTCTTTTTTTAAATCAATATTTTCAGAAGGGCAGTATAGCAGAATGAAGAGAGATCAATTTTATAATATGTATTTATATTATGTATGCACAATAATTTATTACCTTTATTTTGTTTTCGATTCATTCGTGTTTTTATTTAATTTACATTAACGGGTATGGTTTGTATATGTACGCAGGACACATATAATTTGTATTTAAGTATAGGTGACATAGAAATTTTTAATATAGTACATACAGTCGGGGAAAAAATTATGTGAACAGAAGGTGATACTATTTGTCAAAGAATTTTAAATAAATTGGAACTAACGTTGCATGCGTAAATTTTATTTATTACATACTCTCATACTACACAAGTTATTTATTGAAAAATTGAAATTCATATGTACATGTTTTGGTTGCAAAAAATGTGAACAAACACAGTGCACTCCTAATACCTACAAAAACTAATTTTACACAACCTTCTCAGTGTCAATTCAGGCTTTACAAAGTTAACATCATTTGTTAAACGATGAAAGCTGGAGAAATTGCGAATCAAATTCGTTAGTTGTTTTAGATTACTGTAATAACATGAGCTATCGTACTATTGCTAGGAAGTATCGTATATCTAAAAGCGTAGTAGAAGATAAATGAAAAATATTTAATTTATAATATTGTAGAACATTTAAGAAATCGTAGAGGAAAATGGTCCATTACCATACAAGAAGACCGTCATATTCTTCAAAAATGTCGAAAAGATATAACAACTTCTAACAGAAACATTGTAGGATAGATAGGTTTAAATATTTTTGCATAAACAATTAAGCGAAGACTAAAGAAAGTCGAATTAAAGTGCTGTAAACTAAATGTAAGCCATATATTAGCAAATTCACTATGAAAAAGCGATTAGTTTTTGCTAAAAAATACGTTAAATATGTTACTGTTTTTTGGAAGAATATAATATGGAGCGACGAGAGCAAGTTTGAACAGCGACAGGTAAAAAAAACATTAATATGAAGAAAACAAATAGCAATTTATTGCTGTAAGCATACAAACAGTATTTATCCCGGAGGTGCCAGAATCAAATCTCTGATTCTTTACACAGTCGATAATTCAGAACATGTGACACCGAATTCCCATAAGTTTGTAATGTCTATCCTATACCTACCTCATCTGTGGTACAAACGTTAGATACAATGTATTTTTCCATTCACTATTCTGAAATACCGACACCGTCAAGAATGCCCCAGTACTTACACTAGCAGACTCTACCTGAATTCACAAACGACCTCGTTGATTACACTATCAATAGAGTGTTGCTATTTAGACTTAATAACTTAACATTTATTATATTATAAAAGAAAATTCTAAAAACTTCACAATGCTTATCATTTTTCCTAATTAAAGTTAGAATCACGAATACAGATACTAACCAATCAAATCCAAGTGCCAATTCTAGGGGACTCCTGCACTGGAGCAGTGTTTATAATTTATGTCGACATACCATACCTTTCATCTCCCTTAATCTCTAAAACCTTCGACGGTGTATATCTTTAACCTGAACAGATTGTGTTACATCCCCAAAAACACACAACACATTTTATCGACAGATCAATTAAGAAACAGAGCTAGTATCAAAGTCATTCTATATATGTCGTCGATAGTTTAGAGTAGTTCGTAAAGATCGCACTACTTATTCTTACGATACTTTCGTATTTCTGTGATTATTTACAATGACTGTTTGCAAACAGTTTGACAGATTATGTGAGAATAACATATGAGTTTTTATATTATAAGATGTGACAAATAGAATTATTATTGCAATTGTGAATGTTGTAAGTACTCTTAATTTTTTATTTCACTGTATGTTTTAATAAAAAGAATGTTTATTGTATCATTGTACTTATGTTACAAAGATGTTAATTGGATAGAAATTATGTATCTAACAATAATGAGATTTTCACTGTGTTACTCATAGTACTTTTTTACTTTTGTTAAAAATAGTTTTTCATAAAAGTAATTTAAACAAAATTGTTAGAATCTTCAATTTTTTATTGTCTTTTTTAATTGGATTTATTATTATATAGATAACAGTCTTCCCTGATAATGAGAGCTGCTCTCCTGTTTTTAATTTTAACTCAAGCAAGAGGAAAAACAATACAAACATGTCCACAATATTGTACATGTAAGCTTGGTGCACAAGCAGAATGGTTACGTGTTAAATGTAGCAATGAATTACAAGATATTAAAAATATTAATATTGATATTGTCAGTGTGGAATTAGTACAATTGTAAGAGTATAAAGAATATTTTATTGTATTGTAATAATTATTTGCTACAATACAGTTTCTTAAATTATAATGTATAATATAATATTTTTATCATTCATAAAATAATATGTTGCAGGGATTTAAGCAAAAATAATATTTATGCCATTGAAGTTAATATCTTTAAAAACTTAACAAATCTCAAACGTTTGGATTTATCGCAAAACAATATAACTCACATTGGCGAAGGTTGTTTTAATGGACTTGGAAATTTAGAGAAACTGTGAGAAAACTTAAATTTATAATTTTGTTAAAAAAATATGTTATTTAATATTAAATATTAAATATTATTAAATATTAAATATTACATATTAAATAATTAATAATTTATATATATGTATATATATTTAATTTTAGAGATTTAAGTGACAACGAAATTTTATCCATAGATGCTTATGCATTTCGAAAATTATCCAATTTAAAAAAACTGTAAGTCTATTAATCATATGTTATTACATATTTTCTCACATCTTCTACATTGTTTCTTTAATTATTAGTGATTTGTCAAGAAACAACATAAATATCGTGATATCGTCATTGTTTCATGATTTACTGGCTTTAGAACATTTGTAAGTGAGTTCTTAATTTTTTTTGTGTACCTACATACTTTAACAATTACAAGTATTTTCATCTAGATCGAATTACACTTAAGAATACTTGGAAAATATTTATTAATTAATTAAAATATTTTAGGAAATTAAATGAAAACAAGTTAACATCTTTAAAGGAAGGCACTTTCTACCGTCTTAAATCTTTAAAACAGTTGTAAGTAAGGACAATAATATACAACATGATTCTAGCAACTAACCAACAAAGAAACATTGATAAACTAAAGTAGCAATTTACTTAAGTGTCGTAGATATCGTAGGAAAATACAACAGAAGTTTCAGATAATTTTGTTTTTCTTTTCTACTTTTTGATTCTTCAAGGATATCGAAAAATTAAATCAGTATATGCATATTAAATTTTATATAATAAATTGTATGATATCATAGAAAATAGATCAGTTAAGGAAAACATGCTAATGAGTTTTCAGCACTATAGGAATTCTAATTACTTTTGAAAAATGATGTAAACTTAGTTAGAACCTAAATAACTTTAGATTCTGGACTGATTAGTACAAAATTAAGACTTAAATTGAATATCATTCAATTTCTGGAAATTTAAATGTTTATGAACAAAATATTAAATTTGATCATAATTACCATATATTATAATTGAGAGTAAGTAAAAGTTAACTTAAGTAAGATTATCTATTGAATACGACAAAATAAAATTATTATACATTTAGTAAAGTAAAGTAAATAAAGTTTTAAGAAATACTTATTATATGTATTAGTTTATAATTATCTTACTGTATAAATAAATTATATTCTTTTAGAAAGAATACTTTTATTGGTACAGTGTCGCTTTTTGCTGTATAACACATTTATTGGTATTAAAATATCATATTATACTATTGAGTGTTTAATAATTTCATTTTATGCTGTTTATATTCAGTATAGAAAATAGTACAGTGTGATTTACAAAAAAGGTTTACTTTTCCTTTTTTTAATATCTTTAACTTCCAAGTAAAGTTTACAGCTTGGTTTATTTGCTAATATCAGTCTATGTAATAATTTATTGTAAGCGAATACATATGATACAAGAGAAACCAAATGTAAATTTCTGTTTCAGGGATCTATCTGGTAATCCATGGAAATGTGATTGTGAATTATATTGGTTTAGTGATTGGGTTCATAAAAGTTCTGTCAAGTTAATGTAATATGTATTTATTTATTACATCTCTCTTTTTTTTAACAAGTTTATAATAATGAGTATTTAATATTTCAGTAATGCTCCAAAATGTGTATCCCCTGCAAACATTAAAGGGGAATTTGTAAAAAAATTAAGATATTCGGAAAATATTCAATGTCAGTGGTTGCCTCCTACAATAGAACTTCGACCAATTCATAATCAAGTTGTTTTTGTTGGAGATTCGTTAACTTTGAAATGTAGAGCTCCTAGTATCACAGAAGACAAAAATGCTAAACTGAGTTGGTTATGGTATCCAAATACAACTACTAACATTGTGGATTTAAATTCATTTTCTGATCCACAAGAAAGTCTATCTAATATTAAAATTGATAATAGATATCTAAGAGACAGTGGAATTGTAGACAGGTATTTTAATATTTACTTAAACTTAAACCAATATAGTTACATATTTATGTATATTTATATAATTATATCATTAATTTTCAGTTCACTTAGCATTATTTCAGTTAAAGAAGAACATAATGGACAGTGGAATTGTTTACTACTTTCAGTAAATGGCAATAGAACAAAATCAATTACAGTAATTGTCATTTCTGATCAAACTCGTTATTGTCCTTTAGCAGGTAAGAAAAATTATACGCTTTATGCGTATAAGATGTAATAATTTAATAAGAAAATATGTTACAGTAACTAAAACCAATAAAGGTGTTTACACATGGCCAAAAACTGTAGTGGGATGGAGAGCGGAATTGCCATGTGAAAGTAATCACTTCTCGGGTTTAGTGCAAATCCCTTTAAAAGCATTTTATCAGTGCAATAGCACAGGATATTGGGAAGGTTTAGATACAGAATTATGTCCTTACGTATCTCAAACAACAAAAACCTTAGAACAATTTTCTAAGGTCAATCTTTCTTTTGCAAAAATCAATTTATTGGAAACAGCAAAAAAATTTAAAAATTACACAGGACATGACATAAAAGTAACTGATCCTATTGAAGTTAATTTTATAACACAAACGATTGAAAAATATTTAAATTTTTTAGTCGAAGAAAAGGAACTTGGTACTCTATTACTCGATATTATCAGTAGTGTAAGTAATTTACCAAAAAATATTTTAAAAAGAGCTGAAATTTCTTTTAAATCTTGCACAAGATTAATAAAGACAGTGGAAAAGATAGTGCAGTCTACTCCATCATTGCAATCATTCAGGAAAAATGTAGCACTAGAAGAATTTAAAATAAAACGCAACAGCTTCATTGGATTAATATGTACATGGTACTCTAGTACCATTTCCATTGGTGACTCAGAATCCAAATTTTTACAATGTACTACAAACAATAGAACTATTCCGATTAATACAAAAGATAAAATAATTGAAGCTTCGATACATTTGCCTGCATCAATATTGGAATATTCACAAGAAGTCAATACTCAACAGTTAATGATTTCTGCATACAGCAATAACAAATTATTTCCTATTGGTGATAATGTAAACAGTAACTTTCATAAAAGTAATACTATGGATATTACATCATGTATTATTGGAAGCAAATTATGTATGTACAAATAATATATATTATTCATAGAAAAATTACATAAATTACAGAAGAAAGCAGTGTATAAAATGAAAAATGTTTCAGTCGGAATACCAGTAAAAAATTTAACTGAACCTGTAAACATCACATTAAGAGTTCCAACATATTATTATGTGGGGGAAAAGTTACAACCAATGGTTTGGGATGAAACATTTAATAGATCAGGTGGTTGGACAAGCGATGGTTGTTCTTTGGGAAATGTGTCAAATGATTTAATAGTATTTTATTGCAATCGGTTAGGATACTATGGACTTTTACAAGACACTTCTTACCTGGATCAAAACAGTAATAGGTATGTATTTAACATCTTAATGTTTGTATTTTTCTCTTTTAAACTTTAAAACAGTTTCTCTTTTAGTATACTTGGAACAAAATTTAGGTACTCAAACCCTATAATATACATCGGAAGTGCAATAACAATAACATGTTTAATTATTATCTCTATAACGTACATCATTTGTCATGCATCAATTGCTATGCCAAAAAAAGTAAAACATTGTGTTATTAATACTTGGTTCGCCATAGCATTATTATCATTCTCTTATACTATTGGTATTCATCAAACAGAAAATATTCAAATTTGTCAAGGTGTTGGCTTAACGCTTCATTATTTATCTTTATGTTCTTTACTATGGATGGCAGTATCTGCTAGGTAATTATTTTTCATGTATTAAAAAACGTACTTTACCCATATTACACTTACAGCAATATAAAAAATTTCATTTATTTACAGTAATATGTACAATCAGTTTTCTAAATCAGATCTTGGAGATATTTCAAATAATGAACTACCAGACGAACCGATACCAAAACCATTATTGGGCCTTTATTTGGTTGGTTGGGGTATAGCTATGATAATTTGTGGTATATCTGGAGCAATAAATCTGCAAGAGTATGCAGGATATTCGTATTGCTTCCTTACATCTGGTCCTGCTCTTGCTGGACTTTTCCTTCCAGCTGCAATTTTAATTGTATATTTGATTATTTTTCATTTACTTATTAAATGTGCACTTCAAAATGTTGATGTGATTGGTCAATCATTCGAAGGCACGCAAGGTACAGAAAATATGGATTTAGAATTATTAGAACCGAGTTCCAATCTGCCTATAAATAGAAATAGTATACATAGTGCACAATTATCTTCTGATATTGTGGATTCTGAACACTCTCAAATAAGGCAATTAAAAGGACAAATTGTTGTGTTCATTTTATATCTGTTTTCATGGCTCGCAGCAGCAGCAGCAATCATAAAACCATTCAGTTCATACATATCATTTGATGATATTATATTTTCTATTCTATATTCAATATTTTCAAGTTCACTTGGTATTTTTATACTTATTTTTTATGGGATTATACGAAATGATGTTAAATCAGAGTGGTTGAAAATGAGCTGTTGGCTTCAAAAACGGAAAAACCGGTGTTGTAGAACAAGAAGCATTTCTGATACAAATCCTGTAATACCAACACATCCTTTAGCGCAACATTTGGTACCACCATTACCTAATTCTCAGGCTATTCAAGTAACATCTGATTCCAATTCCATTGATTCATCAAGATGTACAAATCGATCACAAATGTGTAATGCTTTCAAATTTACAGATACTTTAAGCAATCGGGAATCTTTACCTGATGTTAGGAAATTGGGAAATGTAAATTTAGTTGTATTACACCGACAACAATATAGGTCTAATAATTCTGTTACAACATATATTGAACCGACTTGTGTTGAAATGTTTTATAATCCTCATCAAAGTGGTGTTGCTAGAAAGTTCTTTAGAAAACAGCGCCGTCATACAAAAAATAATAATCTCGGTCCTAGGAAACAAGGTGATGGTGGTGCTACCAGTGATGCTGGTAGTTGTATTTCTGTACCACGACCTACAGCAAAACTAGAAAGTAATATAAGTCAAACTATTTTAAGTAGTAGTGCAAAAGTAAATAATACAAATATTCATGTCGAACTAAATCCAATAAAGGATGTTAAAAATGTTAACATTCTCTCGGATAGTGGTGGAAGCATATCAGAAGAAAGAAATGTTCCAATGCGATTTGTTATTGGTCAAGAAAGTCTTCTTCGAAATGTTAGTAAAATTAACAACAATTGTAAATTCCAAAAGACAGTTTCACATGACTCAGATATAGACATTAAAAGTGACGAAGAGAAACATTTACGAAATGTTTCACAACAGTGTAGCTTAGAATACAGTTCTGAAATTGAATCAGCCACTCAGATGACAAGCGAAAGAAGTGATCATAATTTACCAGAAATTTACGAAATTGCAGAGACAGTAGTAGAAGAAAAATTTGTAAGGAAAAGATGTCACAGTATGAATGAATCTCATGAGATAAGACAATATTACCCAAAAATTAATTTACAACATTTATCTCATTCTAATAGTATGTATTGTCTTCCAGTAGACACTGCAAAATCATTAAAAAGTGATTATTGTAATTCACTGAACGATATTGCATCCTTCATTAGTTCAGAGAACTATAAACGCTCAAAATCATTATTAATAAATACACAATGTATTACAAGCACAATTTTATATGATCAAGTTTCTGTTTCTCGAAAATCACTTGATCAATCCGAATTATTATCTGAAAAAAACAATCTAATTAGTGAAAATACACCTAATTTAGAGCAAACATTGAGTATTAATCCTTCAATAAACATTGAACGTGTCACTAATATGTGCACCAATGAATGTAATTCTTATTTTCCTACAGAAATAACAGTATCTAACAGAAATCACACCAATATGCCACAAGAGTCTAAAGAAAAAACTATTAATTGTTTAACTGACACAAAATCACTTATATCAAGTCCTCGCCATATTGTGAAAAATTTTAATTCGAGCAGTGAAATAGAAAATGTAAACAAAAATACAAACTTAAACAGTGTACAACAGACTGAAATCAGTAAATTTTATTTACAAAATCGAAAAATTTATCTACAAGTTTCCAAGAAGGAAACAAGCGTTTAATCAAATCAGTTTAGTTATACATATGTAACAAATAGCATTTATTTTAGTAAAAGCATTTTAAAAACAAACATAATTTAATGATAATGATTAAATTGTATTAAATCTAAGAAATTAAATAACTTATTGTGTCATGCCAAGATTTTTATAAAGTATAGTTCCTATAATGATAAAAATTATTCTTTGTATAGAAATATTTTATCTTCTACAAATGTCTTTTCTAAAAACACCAAACATTTATGATACATTTTTTTATACAGAAACGTAGGAGAATTATACATCTCAAACTGCTTTTGGAACATGTTTTTATTTTCAAAAGTATACATGTATATTTAACAAGTATGAATTCAAAATATTAATAACCGCATTTATTACATAAAATGAATTTGTCCCCTCATTTTAGTCATATATTAACTACAAACAGAAAGAAGTAATTGTAATGTATATAATTACAATTGAATGAAATATTGTCAATCACATTCATTCTTTTTACATACTTTTGTACTGATGTATTTGTAATAATATTTTATATAATCTATATTATAACATAACACTGTATATCGCTTTCTAAAATATTCTTATAGAATATTAATATTTTTTGCCACTAATAAAGTGTGTTTTAAGACTGAATATTTTAACAAGTAAATT